GGGTAAGTCCCTCTTCAGACATTTGCAGAGGCGGTCACAGTAAAAACCCCTTCCTGGAAGCGGGCCAGGAGGTCCACCACACACACTCAGCTGCTGTGTTCCTGCAGTCCAGTTAGAAACAGACTTACAGGAACGTGATGTACCATCGGCGTCCATCTGTTTCTACGCTTCACACTGGCTCCACAGAGCCGCTGTGTGTGGAGCGCCCATGAATCGGGGGGGGGGGGGGGTTTCCATTCATCCACAATACGACCCTGACAAGCAGACGCACACAGGAACAGAGATGGACACACTGACACAGTAAAAGACGTGTTCTGGTTTCATTTAGAAAGCTCCAGGCCTTGAATCCTCCGAGACTTATTTCCATGACATTAGATTCCTAAATGGATCAAGTGAGATGCAATGGAGAAGAAAAATGTTCATGAAAGCATAAAGAAACCTGAGTGTGTATGTTCTAACAGTACACGGGCGTCCAACAATGAGGCTCTTTGATTCCCACAGCACACTGCGCCCCATGTTTTCAGGCCTACATCCGCTGCCAGTCCGCTGTTTGCAAAAAGTCCGGGAGAACACAATCGAGCCGTTTAGCTTGAACATCTGGAAATGATCACACGGCTCGGCGCTACATAGCTTAGCCGCCACGCTAGGCTAAGTGGAGGTCCCCGGCCCATGCAGGAACTCGCTGGGGCTCATTAATGGTTTCGTCCAGGTCCGAAAAAACCACACCGAATGCAACTGCTGTGCGTACTGCTGCTTCTAGTACATCATTTAGCTCTGCTATTACATCCGTTTTTTAAATAGTTCTGTCTTCCATGGACTATTGACAAATAGATCTTTAACAGCCGAAAAATCTGCCAAAGACACATTATTGTCCGTCAAATTGGCACTTCCTTTACACCTTCAACTGGAAGGCCAACCAAATCCCGCCAAGTCCCGGTGCGTTGCATTAAAACAGATGCAGGGCCCAGCTGGCTGCACATAAAGGCAGACACAGCCATAATATTATCCAGAACATGTCAACAGCCCAGCTGCCTGCATTCTCGTGTCCCAATCAAGGGGCGCGAAACCGCAGACATTAAGTCAAAGCTGCACGAAGTCATAGCGTCGCCAAGACGGAGATGCATTAAGCTTCATGCAACAGCTCCGTGTGAATGTCCAGCACATTTTCCTTTCTTGGAATGTGCTTTTGGGCACTTGTGCACACAAACTAAATCGAAATAAAGAGAAGGATTGTAGAGGAGGGAGATTTGAGGCACATGGCTCAACATGGCGTGGATGGTGCCGTACTCGAGCCAAGTCCACCTGTGTGGTAGGCGGCGTTTGTGTTCTCCGTCTCTCAGAAATAAACTTCTTTCCTACGCGAACCCGGGCCATTATCGTGCTGACCTCATGGATTAGCTAACAGGGTTACGCCACAGCGGCGCGGAGAATATCACAGATGCCAATATGCGAGGAGTTTGCTGGGAATGCCCCTGAATGAGTGTCCTCTCTGTCGAGGGGCATCGCCCGTGAAGAATGAAATGCGACGCCGGCTGTCAGGGTCGCTTTGGGAGACTGGGTGCTAGTCAGCCGTAGATGGAGAGAGTTACAAGGGGCGGTTTAGAGAGACCGTCCTGTATGTTGAGGAGGTCACGGGATGGATCCGAGCAACAGATAAACAGGTTTTATCCAACTCAATAAACCTCAGCACCTGCGTCCTCCACAATAACTTCAAGAACCCCAATAAAGACACGCAGATCTGCATTTTAACAGCTGTTTCAACAACATCTGGACTGCAGATTGACTGTGCCGCTAGCCAACAGCTTTCTCTGCTGGCGAGTACATGTCAGACTGTCCTCTGTTGTTACAGCATAACGGTTCGCCCCAATGTCCCTTTAAGAGACATATTTTCTTTTACAAAGAGCCCTTGAGCAAGACATGGACATCTGGCCTGTTGGTGCACACATGATGGCAGCACACCACCTCAAACTTTCAGTTATTCAGTTCCCATTTATCGACGGTTTTGTTCCTCTACGCCCCACAAAAAGCACTCCAGCGTGCCAAGAAGCAGCGGTGCATGTGTGGGTGTGTGTGTTGGTGTGGGTCTGCTCCACATGCAGGTCAGAGGGCCGTTTGGTGCCTTATGACGTATGTGAATTAGATTAGGTCTCCTCTCACGGTCAAGACTTAATCGTGTGCTAAAAGCACAGTTTTGCCAGCTCCAATTAGTGCAGAAGGCCTGGGACGGGAGGAGCAGCCGGGGACATTGGGGGTCCTCAAACACCTGTGACACGGATCTTTACTCCAAAAATTGTTCCAGTACTATTACTCCCCAGGAGGAAGGACGCAGCAGCCAATACGGCGCGTCTTAATTTCAGTGGTTCTGTGGTTTCAGGATTTTGACGGCGCGCCTAACCAGAATTGACGTTGGGAAATATAACGTTCCTTGCGTGGTGCAAAGAGGCGGATAGGGTTTCCTATAGTGGTGGGAAAAGCAAGAAGTGGCTAACACACACACATTATTCACATGAACACAGAAGGAGTACAGAGATCTGAGGTTTAAATAAGTCGTGTTTTCATAGCTTATGCGGGTAAACACATGGACACAACCTGTTGTTTCCTGATTAAGGTCATTTCAATTACTCCATCGGTGATTAGACTCAGCACCAATCTGGCCTGATAGAGAGGTTTGTCCTGACAGGGGGAAGTGGGTGAAACCTGACACACACACACACACACACACACACACACACACACACACACATCTCGACTATAACAAACTTTGGCGACCTCCATTTGGACCGAGCCAAGAAACACATAAGCTACGTTGAAATGGGCGAGGAGTTAATGTTCCCAGTTCATGCCTTGACTGAATTATAAGTGAACGTGTGTGTGGTTGTGTGTATATCTTTCTGTCCACTCTTTGCATTGTATGAGATGTTAACTGACACTACACCTCCAAAGTTTGCCTTAAATCAATAATCAATACAAGCAACCATCACACTGAAAAGAGAAAAACCACCTCCTGCACATTTATTGCACGCTGTTATCAAATGAAATCACATCAATCAAGCAAACAGGGTGCATCACGCTTCCATTTGACAGCATGTCAAGTTCCTGAACCTCAAACCTATACCTGTTCTCAGGAGGAATCTACCAGCACTGCAACGCTCGGCCCCAACATGAACCAACATCATTATGTATCTTCCATGTACCTGGGGGTCTTACGAGACCACAATAGGAATGTGCAAGTACAAAAACCGGCGTGCCATCTCATGCGAGCGTTAATTCCTTTTCATCAAAGGAATGCTCTCACACCCAGACGTGGGGAATCTACGGCCCCCTGCTTCTCCTTCAGCTTGAGGCCGGTTTGGAACAGATCCAATGCGTAATGGAGGTCTGGATATTTCTAGATCACTATCTTTGGCTGAATATGATATAAAAGACATTACAACCCATCAGGGTCCATTACGGCCTGCACACGGGAGGAATCAGGGGACCGGTCACCAAGTGGCTCTCTGCTGTCATAACAGAATTATTGCAATTAATGTAACTTAACTCAAATAAATACCACGAAAGATATTACAATGCATGTGTTATATATGCATTATATACATCCAATGCAAGCCATGCTGCCTTTTGCTGATGCAAGCTGGTAATGACCGCAAATGGGGCAACTGGCTGTGGCAGACAAGCGGGGCTACTCCCTCATCCACAGGCCGTGGCAGTGGGCAAGGGTGAGCCAAAGAGATGGCTATAATGTTAACATGATCTACACCTCCACACGTTAAATCAAATGCATTCTCCGCTCTCCTGTACTGCAGGGAGGAACTGGGAGGGGGGGGGGGACTGCGTTGGTTTCAGCACCTTACAGGCGTGGACCAGAACAAAAGGCGCAGGCTGCTGCTGCTGCAGCGGCGAGAGGCGCACCAGGATTCAGCAAGAGAGCGACAAAACAAAATAAATAAATACAAAAACCCGCAAATAAAACACAATTGAACACATTTCATCTTCACGTGCACTGGAAAGCGACGCGTTAAGTTACATCGCATCCTTTCACATCTCCGAATTCATACATAACTGTACATCTGACCGTGACGCGCGCACACACCAGCTGAGGATTAGCAGACATCAGAGCCAACGTTAATAACCACTAGGGCTTTTCTTTGCAAACTTTCATTTTACAGCTGCCGGTGTTGCATTAAATAACAGCTGGAACCTATAAATGCTGAGCAAACACAAAGCCTCGTTCGCCGGTAAATGATAAACAAAGCGCGTCGGCTCTTACCTGGAGGTTCGGGCTGCTGAGCGGCACTGAACACTGAGGGACAATGAGAGCGGTAAGGGGCCCTCTGGTCCCTCCCACCGCACGTTAAGCTACCGTAAATGCAGCAGGGAAGGCGCAATGGGATTGTGCAAGGGGCAACATGCGTGAACGGGAAAATCCCCTCCTTGATATTATATTTTTAAAAAAAACATGTGCAACATCTTTTGGAAGTGAAAATATGCGACATAATGCTCGCGCGCAGAGTTGGCCACAGACGCACACCGGCACAAAGCCGGAATGACCACCCAGCAGGGTGCAAAGTGAGTGAAATGTCGAGTCATTGTTAGAAAGGGTTGTTTTTTTTTTATTCTGGGCTGCTTTGCTGAGGAGGGAAGTGCTGCCCGCAGTGGAAGACGAGCGCAGAGCTGGAAGCACAGGGGTGTGGCTGTTGCTAAGGAAACATGAAAAAGGAGGAGAGGGGGGGAAGGGGAGACGATGGGAGGAAGATACATCACTGCGCATGTAGCGGCACTTCTGTCTTTTACAGGCGCATACAGCAAACCCACGAGGACGCAAACGCATGGTGATACAATGTATAGTCACGGTGCATCCACTCAAAGATGCCGGCATTGCATCTATAAAACGAGGAGAGATGCTCGAGGTCGCATTCAACAGTCTGCTTGTCGTCCGTGCATTTGCTGCCACCTACTGGTGGAAAGAAGACAATGCACAGGGGACGCTGTTGCTGATTGACACGTTTTTTATTCAATTCAGTGATATTTACAACATTTCATCCCTGAGCCCTTCCATCACATGTTTTTAAGATGATTAAATAACAAGAATGAATTTGGCGTGTTTCTCAGACGCTCTAAATGGTGTGCTGAAACAATGCATTGCTAACAAAATGACTTACAATTATTAATAAATAGGGAAGGCAGTGTTATTTCTTCTGATAAAAGCTATATAGACTTGGTTCGAGCATGATTAAACACTCTTCCATGACTTCTCACAACCGCACATCAATCTTTCTCACTTCCGGCTAACGATGGAGCGGCCGATGAGCTCTTTCATGATCTCATTGGTGCCTCCATAGATGGGCTGAACACGGGAATCCACAAACGCCCTGCAAGAGACAGACTTCAGCAACTTGTGGATGGACTGGAACGCAAACAATGTGGGTGATCAGGTCACGTGACACTTACTTGGCGATGGGGTATTCCCACATGTAGCCCCAGCCTCCATGGAGCTGCAGGCACTGAGTGGCCACCTTGTTCTGGAGGTCAGAAGCCCTGGAGAGAAGCCCAGACGAACATTAGCAAATGGCATCAACATGGCCTGGTTAATGCAACAAAAACACATCCTCACCAGAACTTGGCCATGGAAGCCGTGGCCGTATCCAGGCGTTTCTCAGCGTGGAGCTGGATGCAGTTGTCTACGAAGGCTCGGCCCACACAGATCTCCGTCTTCAGCTCGGCCAGCTTGTGTTGCACGGTCTGAGGGAGCAAAATTAGACGCGGTGATAGTTATTCTCAGAAAGGAACAATCAGATTCTAAAGCAAGCACACAATCGTTTGTTATACAGACCTGTAGATGTGCGATGGTCTTGCCGAAAGCCTTCCTCTGCATCACGTAGTTCCTGGTTTCCTCAAACATGAACTCGCAGCTCGCTATGGCGATGCCAGCAATCGCCAGACGCTCCTTTCGCCACAAAACGAGAAGGGGATTTACAGACCAGACTAACCGAACCCGAAACAATCGATAGGCAACTCAAAGGACAAATATCATTGGAGTGCTTTGACACTGAGAAAATCCTAAAAACGTGTTCTTTTCACCTGAGGCAGTTCGTTCATCAGGTAGTAGAAGCCGTTGTTGGGCTCCCCCAGGATGGCGTCGGCTGGAAGCCGCACATCCTCAAAGAACAGTTCAGCCGTGTCCTGCGAAAGACGGAGGAGAAAAAAAAAACAGTGAGGCGACAGAATCGGCGTGTCCTGACATTTAGCTTTTTTACACGGAGAGGTAGAAGAACGACGGAAGCCACCGAGCTCCGGTACCTGGGCCTTCAGACCGATCTTCTCCAACTTGCGCCCCTTCTGGAAGCCCTTCACGCCGTCCTCCACCAGGAACAGACTGATGCCGTGTGCCGGCGACTTCGCCTCGCGGCCCGTCACGGCCACGACCACCACCAGGTCGGCCATCCACCCGTTTGAGATGAACACCTGGAGGGGGTGAGACGGAACGGAGCTCAAGGCGGTGCCGAGATGCGGTCAAATGACTCCTTTTTGTGACTCGTTACCTTGTTGCCGTTGAGGATCCAGTCGCTGCCGTCCCGCTTGGCGTGCGTCCTCACACCTTGGAGGTCACTGAAAAGATAAAAGATGCAGAGTCATCAAAGCTACGCGACATCGGTGCTTTGCACGCCGACGTTTGGGACTTTGGCTTGAATCCGCCAACCTGCCGGCTCCTGGCTCCGTCATGGCAATAGCGCCGATGCATTTCCCAGCAGTCATCTCGGGGATGAAGCGTTCGATCTGCTCCTTGCTGCCGTAGTTGGAGATGTAGGGCATGATGATGTCGGAGTGCAGGGAGAAGCCCGGGCCTGAGCAGTTGGAGTACGATCTGCAGGAGAGAAACAAAATTAAAAAAAATAAAAGTGTTACATTTCAGATATGAATGTTTTTATTTGATTTTTTAGTACAACTCACTGCTCCTCCCACGTGACGGCCACAGAAAACAGGTCTGCTCCGACGCCACCGTGCTCCGCTGGTATCATTACTCCCAGCATGCCTTGCTCTCCAGCCTTCTCCCACACCTCCCTGCTCACCTGACCGGCCTTCTCCCACCTGGATCGAGGAAAAAAAGGGAACTGTGGTGAGGTGTTAAAAGACTACGCTGAAGGAGTTTTAATACATTTGTTGACAGTGACATTCTTCGGCCTACTCCTTGTGGTATGGAATCACTTCCTCTTGATAGAAACGCCGCACGCTTTGTCTGAAGATGTCGTGGTCCTCGTTGAAGATCCGGCGAGTCCCAATGTCCATCAGCGTCGTGGCGCTGGAGGTCTCGGGGCGGGGCGGGGGGCCAGGCTGCCCAGGCTCCTGGGCCTGACTGTAGAGCCTGGGAAGAATGAGAGAAATTCAACCAATCACGCCAGCGAGCCGCTGATTCGGCAACCCAAGCCAAACTAAATTCACTTTGGTAAAGCAGCAAGGGATTATGGGAAGATGCTACGATTAGCATGAGAGTCGGGATCTAAGGATCATTATTTTCTCTATTAGTCATGAAATGTAAAAAAACAACAAAAAAAACAGAACATGATTAAAAAAAGATAGTTATAAAATCATATATAATTTGTAATGTCTTGTTTTGTCCAATTAAAAAGTCCAAACCCTGAAGTTATGCAGGTTATTAGCAGCAAATCCTCACAGCTGGAAACTAAAAATGTTTTCTCAACTTCACTTTTTCTGAATGCAGTTTTACGAAAACGCACTTCACTTCCACCTAATGATATGAATGTATAAATGAAAGCTGCATATAAGGTTACGTATGAAAGAAGTGTGTCAAAGGTCGCTTTGAACTAAATACTTCTACAGATGACTTACCTGCAAGTCGATTAAGATATCGATTAAAGATGAACCAAGTTCGACTATGATACGTGCATGCATTCGTCCGTCTATTTAAGCCATTATTGAAACCTAAAAAGTTATATACTGTATATATGAAATACTTCACCTGGCAGCCACAGACAACACCCGTCCTCTTCCGGAGACATTTCTCAGCCCCAGAAGACAAATGTTGCTCACCTTCTTAGCAAACATCGTCAGAGAAAGCAGAGACAGAAACAGCAGAGAACTAACTGTATCTATAGGCTACGTAAAATCACACTGAAAGACACCGTTTAATGAAGCATTAACCAATATCTGACTGAGCACTACCAACGAAGAAGAAGCCTCACTCTGTTATCCATCACTGACTCCTGGACTACAACAGTTTAACAGTTAACGTATGCTCTGTGTAGAGAAGTAAAACACGTGTGTGTTGTTGTTAAAGTGTGTCGATACTAACTATCATTCGTGTGCAACTTAAAATGTGACTTTGAAGCATGTTTTGTCGTACTCCAGGAGAAAGGTTTTGCCCATGAAAACCGCAGCAGAGTGACACCTCACTGTTTCCTTCGCTGCGAAACCTCTCACGCTGATTGGTCGGAACAACATTGTAGCGGAAATTACAAAATACTCGTAAAATTACAGTTAATAACTAATTTATACAGAAAAGAAAGCGTGCACAATGAGCATCACTCATTGCATATGCATATTAAACATGTGCGTGCTGCGGCCGCTACATCTGTGTCTTTATTTGTTGGTTTCTTCCTTGAATGTACTCCGACAGCATCACTATCATTAGATAAAACGGAATAAATCAAAATAAATATCTTGGTGCAGAAATCATTCAGTATTTTTATCAAATAGCAAAGAGTCGAAAACGAGATGTATAAAAAATAGATATTGAAACAGTATATCAAAAAGAAAACATGTGTTTTGTAATACAAGTCTGCCTGTTTCCTCATTAGACCACAGGGGGGCAGGCTCTCTCGAGGTGTACAGAGACGCTGTCGGTCCCATTGTTGCGTGAGGGACACGTTGCACCTGTGTTTACTCCACAAGACCACAGGTACGTTATAGTCACACTGTGGGAGAACAAGTGTGTTTCCACGGTGATTCCTTGTTCTCTGTGCTTCAGGAGGATGCTAAACAAATATACACAGCAGTAAGTGAGACCAAACCTGCCGAGCTGGCTGGTTTTGTACTTGAACAAATACAGTACATCTCACACACTAAGGAGATGCTCTTCCTTATAACTAACTTCATATCAAGTTAATCAAAGATAGGTTTATTGTCTTAAGAAATGTTTTTATTGTTGTATTCTTGTAGTATATCATTTTAAATGTCTTTTTATGGTTAAATGATGTTGTGTCAAGAAGATGTGACTGATAAATAGTCTGGGCTTTATAATGATATAGGGACAAAGACCATTAACCCCCCCCCCTGGCTCATGGACTATGTTGGCCTATAATAAAGCACATCTACAACTGCATGTTGGCAATGAAAGATCAGGAATCAACCCAGGTGGGATGTACGTTGGAAAGGTTTATTCTGAAATGAACAGAGTGACAATAAATAAAACTTTTCAGGGAGGTGGGAGACGTTTGGCGGCCTGTCCACGACCATTCTCCAGCACCTTTGGCATTGCTGGGAATCAGTGATGGCGTGACTGAATGAGGGTGGCGGTGGGAAGGGAGGGATCTACCCTCACTTGATGAGCGGTCATCCCTTCTCCCCCGTTCCTCACCCCATGCTGGTGAGTGGAGAAGCGCCCCCGGGAAGGAGTAGAGGCCAAGTGATGGTGGTATACGATGGAGAGGTAATGACCCGAGCGAGGAGGGTTTGAGACGAAATGGAAAGAAAAACAAAAATAAACAACAAGATGGGTTTGCTCCGACATCCCTTGTACATAGTCCTTGTCTTTCCTTGGTTGGTCTTTGATGTAGTGTAGATGTCCTGAACACCGTTGGGCTGTCTGTAGGTGACCTACTGTCGGCCTCTTACACAGACAAGATGTGCTTGATGAAAGCTGGAGAGAGACAAACCCATGTTTACAAATCTTGAGCATCATTGATGAAGTTATTATATAAATAGACAAGGCATGCGGGGAAATCAAAGCTCACCCTCGTAGTGCAGACTGCCGTTCTCGTCCTCCTGGCCCACCATGAGGGATTCAATCTCGTGTTCGGTCATCTTCTCTCCTGTGGGGGGCGCATAAAGTATCCATGTCAAGGGACACTTTCTCCATTTCACCCACATGCGTGCTCCCACACTGTGCTCGCTAAGCACACTATATTTGCGTGCTTCTATATTTGGCGACCTTGAGAGACTCACCCAGGGTGGCCAGCACGATGCGCAGCTCGGCGCCCATGATTGTGCCGTTGCCCTCCTTGTCGAAGACGCGCAGGCCCTCAATGTAGTCGTCGTACGTGCCCTTTGGCTGGGCGTCGACCTCCTTCAGCATGGGAAGGAAGGTCTCGAAGTTGACCCTCTTGTTGGCCAAGTCTGTTGAAACAAGGGGGACACCGTAAACCACCACGGACCAATCGTCTGTGTGCTCAGACCGGGGGGGTCACAGAAAGCCCAGCTTGAGCGTGTTCACTAGCTCGGTGGCTCTCTTCTTGGCCTGCTATCATGCTATGTTTCAGCATTTACCTCCATCTCATCTGTCATATCTTTAAGCTTTGCCTGCGATTGCCTACACTCGGCAGGTATTGTCACATGGGGTCTCACCGTCAGCGGTTGGGTTGCCCAGAATCTTGTTGACGGCCAAGTTGGTGGGGTTCTGGCCCAGGGCGCGCATGATGTCGGCCACCTGGTTGAAAGCTACCTGGCTGTCACCGACCCTGTCGAAGAGGCCGAAGGATTCCTTGAAATCTGTCCGGGAGAGTGAGGAGAGAACCTTTGAGTTACCAAAGCACGGACACAAGTCTCACATGTCTCTGAGCTCCTCGTAGCATGGTTAAAAAAACATTTTTCAAGGCTGTTTGGACATTGATGAAGAATAATAATAAAACATTATATCTGATCCATCACTGGATCGTATATTCTTAATTTGAAAGGGTTCTTAGTCAGCTATGGCAGCCGTGTTGGATCAAGGGCTATAGAAGCCACATACTTCCGTCATTGTTCCCAGATAACTGTGGCGACAGCTGTGATCAAGGAAGGTTGGCTATCTGTATGAATCCTACCAGGAAGCCGTAGTCAAAGTGACCTTTTTGACAGATGAATGCTCTGAACAGCAGCGGGAGGAACAGCTGTACCTTGCCCCCCACACTTCTGACCCCTCTCCATTCCTGCCTCCGCTTGCATTTGGGAGGCATTCAGGGAGCAAACTGATACACCCAGCCAGAGTAACCCGGGCCTTATAGAGGCACGGCGAGTTAAACGTGAGAATGCTGACTGTGTTGTAACCAACACCTGGTCTCTAGTGGCCCGCATGCATTCCACTGTAGTATAAATGTACCAGAATGTGCAGAGGCAGCGCTTTCATCCTTTTTTTGGGGTGCAAATTGCCTAGTTTTTAAACTATATCACTTCTATGTAATATAATATAAGCTGTTCCCCCTTCCACCAAACACAGAGTAATGTCTGTAGACACGTCTTTCAGCACTCAACAAAAGAGTTTGGGGATCACAGTTTGGATTCATTTTGTAACGGGACACCGCCAAGGCCGGCACCTTAAACCTTGACTTGGTAATTAACGCCTCTGCTGTGTAAAGGCCACAAGACAAGGCCAGGGCGGCTCAGAATAGACGTATCTCAAATTCTCCTCGACAACTGGACATGTCCGACGCAGACAGTGTCCTACAGCGGTCTGCTGTAGGACACTTACTCCATCACTACTTCCTCCTTTTAGGAGTTAATTTAGAGGTTTGACTAAGATAGCCTGCAGCTACTTGGGAGTTTGACTGGAAGACAATTTGGGGGACATAATCCGCCATAATCCGCAGAGAGTGGAATTCTCACAACCTATTTCCAGCATGCCAAGTTATTTGTAAGGGAGTGAGATGAATCTCCCCATTTCTTCACTTACCCTCGATCTGTTCCGGTGAGAACTCTGCTGCCTGTTACGTGGAAATACACAAAAAGGCACATTTACGAATACATACACACACACACACACACACACACACACACGCACACACACACGCACGCACACAAACACACAGAGAAATGAATAAATACACAGTGATTTATGAGTTTAGAAGTTGCACAGACAAAATCCAGTTCATGTAAGATTTCCTAACAACGCTAAATGTCAGAATTTATTGCTGTAAACGCTCCAAAATGGCACGAAATACATTTGATGGATGCTTCCTTGCATTTAGGTGTAAGCGTGATAGAAATGTGGATGTATTTCAAGGCAGGTGGTCCTGGGCCAAGAGGAACAAATCTTGAACTTGTATCATAATCTATATTTCACAGCGGTCTCTGATTTCTCCTCCCTGTCACGAGTGATAATCAAGTCCCAATTTTTTGATCTGATTTTTGGAGAGTCAGTATCCAAAGAGTTGTTCCTAGCACAGAAAAAGAAAAAAGTAACTCCATCGCCATCCGCCCCCCCCACCCACCCCCACCCACAAGGTCCGAAACACAATCATGTACACACCATTTTGGAGAGAAGGAGCTGGAGGAGCGGAAAAGAAAGAAGAAGCAAAGCCGAAGTCCCAAGACAGAGTGGTCCCGAGCCATTGTCAAAGCCCCCTCTTATTTATCCCGGGCCCGTGACGTCACCTGTGCCAATAGAGCGGATCGGATGACACGCTGGAACATCTTTAACTTTCTTAGGGCAAACGGAAAGGAGAGCTGCGCGCCCCCGTGCAGTGGGAGTAGGCCTCTAGAAGGGGACAGGGGTATTTTTAGAAGGCCAAATAACCGCGTCAAGACTCCGTGTCTTGTGTCTCAGGATGTTCTTTTCTACGTGTTCAATTCTTTCAAATAAAACTTCTATTTAGTTAAAATGTCAATTTTCTTTTTTTATTTTGGGAGGGAGATGCACAGTTGGACCGTGCCCGTGAAAAAGCAGTAAAGTCAGAAATCCAGCGGCCCACCTCGGAGGGGCTCCTCGCCCCGGAGAGCTCGCTTACAAGGTGGTATTTTTAACCGGCGAGCGTGCTCCTCCTCTTATGGGTAAATAACAATTCTACTGCACGAGCTTTATGGACATTACGCTTCCTTAAAAACTCTGAAATCAGAGGCTCAATGCATCAGATTAGCTCCAACACAGTGTGTAATTAATAGAGACGTCCCAAAGTTAATGCATTTTGCCGTTAAATTGAGCACAATGATGCATTGGAGGGAAATTGAGGTGATAGGTGAAGTTACCCTGAAGTAAAGACTTGATTGCGCTATCGATGGAGGTTAAAAGTCTCAACCAGAGCTCTCCGTGGTGCTGAGGGCAACATTAAAAAGGAATGCTTTATTAATGCAGAAGATGCATAAAACACAAGTTTAGTAGATGCCATTAAACACAAATGATAGGGGCAAAGTTCTGATGGGTTTCATTTGATGCATCGTTGTCATACTTACTCTGATGGGACCAAATAAAAGGTTCCTGCCAGATAGTTGTTGAAAGTGAAGAACTTTCTTTCTTAATTCACTTCGACTTAATCCTAAATCAAGCTCCATCTTTCCTTCGGTTACAAAACCCTAGTTTCTTCCCAAATGTTTGTTCACGAATGGAAATATTGTGCGTTTGAAATGGACATGAAATGTATGCTCAGCTTTGTTGTCATAAATGTGGGGCTTCCTCTTGACATGTTCTCAGAATATTTGATGAAACGGGGCATTTCTTTTTAATCTGTGCACAGATTCATATGCTGAGTTAAACTACACCGAGACGCAGCGCGTCCCACCCCACACAGACCTCTGATGAACACTGTACATTCAGTAGGTTTCTTTTTTCTTTTTTCATTAATAAGCTCATTTAAAACCCGTAAAAATACTAATATTAATAGGCATAGCACAGTAATGAATGGAGGACTGTGCTTGATTTCCAGCAGCTTCTTTTGTTTGTTCAAAAGACAGAGGATTTGGGTGATCCACTAACTGCATTAAGTCCTGCAGCTGAAGAACAGAAGGAACCCATCCAGGCCCCCACGCCCCCTTTGGACAGATGAGCTCTATTTTTACTCACAATTCCTGGCGGAGGTGCTCAGTTTCTGAAAATGAACGCATCTTGAGACGCCCTGGTACTCCCCCCCGCCCCTCCCCTCCGAGACCCCGGCTGGTGTACAGAAGCACGGACATGGGGAGGGGCTTAAAAAGAAAAAGAGCGGCGGCATTGTGTCGTCGCTTGGGTTTCTGGAGGGTTACGTGAGCCTTATTTGGAAAAGAGACTAGCACACAAAGGGAGGGACACCGTGATATGTGGCTTCTTCTGCAAGCTGCATGCCTTAAAGCTGCTGACGGTGAGAGAGAAGTTGTGTTTGTCTCCTTCACCTCTGTGTTATCTCAGGGGTTTAACTCTTTACTTATTGAGTCAGAGCAGATTCAGAGGTGAGTGTGGTTCATTTGCCAGGCGGAGGAGGTCAAAACATTAATAATTCACAAGTGGCGGACTCGCCGCTGCCCCCCTGTGGCGCATCCCTGCTGCTGCACGATCGCATCAAAACAAGAGCAAGAAGTAGTGAAATGCACGAGAGGACGACAGCTGTAAAAAGACACATGGTTTATTGCTCAGACAGTGCAAAGGACAGGCAACAGTTTACACTCTGGGGTTTAATCCCTTAACACATGGCACAGCTTGGACTGCATTATATTTAGTGCGTTGTTACTAGCTTTGCTGTTGACTCTGAAAAAGAAAACCAAAAACAAACTAAAGCAATCCATTTCCTTCAACATATCAAGCTCACAGATTAGCAAATATACAGTTGCTGAGTGTTAGCTAAACACCATTTAGTTTTAACACCATATTTTGGGATGTTTTGTTTTATTTATGTTTTTTTTTTTATTTTATTTTTTTTAGACAGCCAGAAAACTAGTTTCCTTCCTTTTTGCTGAAACCTTCAAAAGAAATCACAATCTGAGCAACAGCCACAGAATTTAATTATTTTATACACAAAAGAGGAACGAAAAACCGAGGCAAGCTCTCACCTTTGACATTTTTTTTTTTTGAGACAATTATGTAGTTGAGATGCGAGTATAGGATAAATCCCGTTAATAACATGTAAAGTTCCCGGTAGAGTAGAGCAGGAAAAAACATGGCACAATGTCGATTGTTGTGAATGTGGTGCTTTCATGCATGAGTGTGACAGAGAGCAAAAGTGTGGGTCTTCTCCTTGTTATATTTTCCCACAGTGTGGAGTGGGGGGCGGGGCGGGGCGGGGGCAAGGGGGGGGGGGGGGAGGAGGGGGCGACTACCTGTGGAGGAAACCTTTACACCTCAAAGGCCGGGAACCTGGCTTTCATTGGCTGCAGGATGTCAGCCAAGAAGTAGATGGTGCCCGCCATGCCTGCAAACAGGAAGTGACGCGGTGAGTTCACAGCTTCAGTAACAGAGACGCAACACGACACGGCGCTATAGCCATCAAAACATAACATTTATACCGGTTTAGCTTCCTTTTTGATGCAAACGGTCAATAATGCAGAGAAGTTGTTGTTTTATCTGTTTCCTACTACATATACATTCATTTGCTGTCGATCTGACAGGTTAAATATTCCTCGCAGAAACTTAAATTTTACCTTCAAAAAGTGAGAAGGGAGTGTCTGGTGTTCGGCATCCATGTTTGCCGTAGTTCATGCACCAGTCTGCAAACTGGAGAGAGAGAGAGAGAGAGAGAGAGAGAGACGGTGTCACCATAATATTCCCATTCTACCACAATAGTGAACTGCAGCTGAACCGTCAACAACGGCTAAAAGCGGTGAAATCCTGGCGCCTGAGCTCGAGGTATCGGGTTGCGACCACAATGTCAGTCGGATGCACGGGGCGGAGCCTCGGCAAGACCTCCGAAGAGTCCCATTTCCATCTTCTGCGAACAGATCCATGCTAATGGTGGCGCACACACACACACTCGTGCCACCTGGAGCGCATCCAAAGAGCGCTCGCTAGCAGACCCCCCCCCGCCCGCCCGCCCGCTTTCATGCCGACTCGCACCGACAGCTACCAACCTATTGTCAATAAACATAAAAGGGCCTGCCTCTCATATAACCCCACCCCCTTTCTGGAATCATCAATCAACTGCGCTGCAATTGGTTGTCCTTTGAGCGAAGTTTACTTTCACATCTTGCATCTTTTAAACCATGAGACCAGGATATTATTGTTGTTGTTTAATCACTCGAAAGGCTGCTGCCTGTGTGTGAACGATGTATACTGATCCCATGATGACGTGTGTGTCTCCCCCCCCCGTGCTCTCACCATGCAGGCTCTGTAAAGGTGCTTGGGGTCCTGCGTTAGCCGGTAGAGGGCCAGGAAGGTATAGGCGTTGCCCGCCGCACCGTGACACAGGCCGTATCCCTTCTTCAGCAGGCCGCAGTGCCACACCACCTCTCCACACTGCAGGGCGTCCTCCAGGTACTGGGGCACTCCGAAGGCCTGCGACGAGGGAGAGAGGGAGGAAAGGGAAATTAAAATGAGAGCTTTTTTTGATGGCCCAATGGCTCTCTTCTTGTTCTCCAAATGGCGTACAAATGGAAACATTATTCATTCCTCCCTGAGTGTTTACCCTGTATGCCTGCAGGAGCATGTACACCACCCCTGGGGATCCGTGGCACCAGTGCACCAGCAGGTCCCGGTCGTCCCCGATACAGGGAGGGTAGTTTCCCGTGGGGAACTTGAGGCGGCAGACGTGGTCGACGCTAGGCTTCACCAGCCTGTGAACGTACTCCTCCACGCAGACAAAGCCCGGCTGTGGGGGGGGGGAGGGACCAGACCGAGTTTACACAGGATGGAGAAGTAACAGGTAGATCGAATTAGTTCGTGTGTAAAATTGCTCCACAAACTGGACACAGGAGGCCTGTCGTACCTGCATGAGGTAGTAGTAGATGCCGGCCAGGCCGTGGGCGGCGCCGACGTACTGCTCCTGGTACCACTCGTACATCAGGGGGCTGTGGTTCTGGACCCTGAACTTCCTGCTGAGGTGCTCGCCTGACACCAGCACGGACTCGCTGATCTGAGGAGGGAAGCAGCGTTATTTTAGTTTGTTCCATATTCAATAACATATTTCATGTCAAGTTAATGCTTTTTCCCTCTTTTTATTTAGTTTTTCCCAACCATTTGTCCAATTAGGGGTCAATTTCCTCTTATTCTATCATTACTGCATAAGATCTTTGGATGTAGGCGATGAGTCAGCATGTCCTGGATGTAAAAAGTCCTTCCAACGCGGTGCATAGAAGTGTGATTTCTCCTTCCTTCCTACCTGCTGGATGTACTGCAGTGGGATCCTGTCCTGCCCCAGCTGCTGGTTGACGAAGACGAGGGAGTAGAGGAAACCCATCCGCCCGTAAAGCAGCTCATCGGGCAGCCCGCCGGCACCTTTCACCACGTTCTGGTGAAACTGCAGCAGTCTGGGGGAATAGCAGAGGACACACAGAGCTCGTGAATCTGGCCGGCTGCCTGTCACAACCCACTATTGCACCAATGAACTATCCACGATGACCTGTAACTGTATGCGATTGATAATAAAACCATCCTACCTTTGGCAGTTAATTTAACAGGATCGGGAGCGATA